ATGCAAATCCAGGATTGTGATGCAACACTACAGGTCCTCTAATGGGGGCTTCACAATGACGGCTTGACATTTTTATGTAGATAGGGAGAAAATTGAAGGTTAAAAAAACCACACACACATAATGACAAACTGTGTTCAGGTTATTGTAAATGTTATATTGGGTGATATCCAACTAAGTCATATTCAGAGTAGGCCCACTGAAATGAATGCATATGACTAACATTAGGCATTTTTCAATTTTTAAGCAGCATATCCAGCTCTGCGCTTATCAAAAGTAATTTCTCTCCGAAGATCCCATTCTATAGAGAAACCAGATAAAGATGTCAGTCTCAATGGCAGCATTGTTCGCCATGATTTATTTTTAATAAAGGGTAATTTGGAGAATGCTCTTTCTCCTTCTCACTTTGGAATGAGAAGAGTTAGATTAAGCAAGAAGCTATAGTAACATTTCTGAAAGCTTCAACAAGTACCTTATTATAAACTGATCTTCAAAATCTTATTTGTAGTAGTCTTAGATCCATCACATCCCTCTGTAGTATCTAAGAAGTGACTCCTCAAAGCAAAGACAGAAAGGCACTCCTTTGTAACAAAAAGAAAAGGGGGGGACACATAAATGGCAAGGTTTGAGAGTTACTGATTCCACTTCTAAGATATTAAATCTGGTTTGTGATGCACTAACTGTGCTTCTAAGGTATGTTTATTTGTGAGAAAAGGATGCTAGCATGGCAGAGTTTGTTTTGAAATCCCCCCCATAAGATTTATGGAGTGGGATCTGAGTTGGAGTGACGAAGCAGGCAGCAATGCAGCAATGTTAACCGATCAATATTGATGATCAGTGATAATGCACCCCACTTCTCCGTGTAAAAGGCCCAGGACAATCCCCATCCTATAAAATGGGTATGGGTCTAAAGTCCGTAACTTTGCGCCAGTGGCAAATCTGACTTCTTTGTGGCAATTTTCAGGAAAGAGGTTACAACCCCATCTCTAAAGCCATGTTCAGATAAAAGTGTATGGTGCGTGGAGAGGACAGAAGCACACATTCAAACCCCATGCCTAACTCATTGCACACTTGCCAGCTCTACTTCGGATCTTCTTGCATTGAGATGCAAGGAGTGAAGGGGTAGTGGTTCTAAAGCTGTGTAAACACTCCTGTTGGCTCTGAATCCAGTATGCTCCCAGCTCTGGTTCAAGAAGTAGTGTGCGCACAATGTGAGACTCAATTCACACCTATCCTGCCGTTTATTACAAATTACTTTGTTTCAGTGCATTTTCCCCCACCCCAGCTTTGATACACATTGTGTAAAACAAGGAGCAGGCTGCATTTTAAAGTAGTACAGTGGTACCTCGGGTTACATGCGCTTCAGGTTACAGACTCCGCTAACCCAGAAATAGTGCTTCAGGTTAAGAACTTTGCTTCAGGATGAGAACAAAAATCGTGCTCCGGTGGCGCAGCGGCAGCAGGAGGCCCCATTAGCTAAAGTGGTGCTTCAGGTTAAGAACAGTTTCAGGTTAAGAACAGACCTCCGGAACAAATTAAGTACTTAACCCAAGGTACCACTGTAATGCATTTGCAGCCTAACTGCACTCGGTCACCACCTGTGTCTCTTCTCCCTGCTTTCCGAGGGAGGTCTGAATGGGGCTCAACTGTTGTTAGCATCCAGAACGCTGGCTTATGTTCTTTGTCAACTCTGGCTGCGCCTGTCTCTGATTGGAAACCCGTCGTATTGTTTTAAGAAAAGCAATGTTCATCATGAAAGCCCTGAGTGAAATTTCCAGAGTTGGCAAGATTCAATTACGCCAGCTGAACAACTTGCCTGTTCTGTCAACTTGCTTCCCAGCCTTCTCTAGCTTTGTCCCCATATGGTTCAGTGTATATCAGTAATGTTCTTGCGATAATCTAATTTGGTTAACACAAGGAAACATATGTTTTCCCTGCCATAAGCATATCTTGTGGTCTGCGAATGCTTTCCTCAGATGGTGATGACTTGCCACCCTGTGCAGCTGAGCCCTGGCGTCGCCATGCCACACGTGGAAGGATCACATTCGCACCTGAGCATTCTGCTCAGTCTACATGATACCGTTACAGATTTGACTGATTAGCCAGCGCCCTGCCAATAGCCACATGCCAGAATGCAATGATCAAAGAGGATTGCCAGGGAAAGAGAGGAAGGGGCAATTGGAACAGAATTGCAGCCGACAGCAAAATGCAATTTGAGCAAAGTCGATGCTCACAACGTAAGACAAATGCAGGCAGAGGAAAGGAAGAATTATGGAGAGTCAGGTGATAACTTATTCATAGATTTCTGTGGAAAGCACAGTTAGCAAATATACCATCTGTGAAATAGAGCTGGCGTTCCTTAAATGTCTATTAGCAATTGCAATCCACTCCGAACACCTGATCTCTGCTCCACACTCCTTGATAACAACAACAAAATAAACCATTATTGCTTTAATAGCTTATGTAATGTTATGTAATAGTATCGTTTTAGGTAATGCAATAACAATATGAGATTGTAAACGATCATGTAGATTTTTTTCTTTTTTGCTTTTTCCGGAGCCCATTACATCATTAACACTTTGGCCATTAAAAAGCTGATTAATGATTTTCAATATGCTACAAATCTGGCTTTCAACTTTGTTTCCAACAGATATGTCATAGTAAACATTTTTAGTTGGGGAGGGCGAGGTAATAGGAATGCACATCTTTCAGCGTGGCTGTATTTTTGTAAAAGTCAATACTACTTAATTATTTGCTTTCTTCTGATACTCTTAACCTACAGTGGTTTTTCTATTTTAAAATATCAAGCTGCATGGAATACTTTTCTTTTTTGCAGGAAAATAAAAATAAAAGATCAGTTTCTAGGTGTATTTCCTGTGTTAGTAAATTGAAGCCCAATTGTCCCAGCATGAGGAATACCAATGCCTGTTTCATGATGTGTGCATCCAAAGCAATCCAATAAATTAGACCCATGTTCAGCCAATGGGCATGTGATTCTGGGACTTGTGAAATTACTGTCAGTATGTAGCCTCATTAGACTTCACACATATCCATCCCCCTGAAGTAGTTTTTGAGCAACCGTACCAGTTTGAAGTCCAGAACAAAACAATGTAAGCATGTGTTGTTCTACCTGTTTTGTAGAAAGTTGTTTTATATGAACACTGTTCAATTTATTCCCTTAATGGAAATTTCCTTTTAATCTTTAGACACATCCAAACGTTTTGCTTTACTAGAAGAACAAGGGCATTTGAGTTCACCAGCTCAGTTGCATCATTATCTTGGTCTGACTTGAGTTTAGACATTTACTCCAGTTTTTCCTTCACTTAGTTTTCACTTTTATTTTATTGTGGATCCAGATTGTTGATACTTACTGGTATATGGAGTATGACTCTTGATATTAGTAGAACTAAAGTCTGGGTCCAGCTCCATATAGGAGTAGTGTATTTTGATTTTCTTCAAGATTAAAATGGGCCATATAGTCCATTAGATCTGCTTATTTGAAATTTAGATTTATAATAAAATATATTGATCCTTAGGGCTTGCCGATCAGAAGGTTGGCGGTTCAAATCCCCATGATGGGGTGAGCTCCCATTGCCCTGTCCCAGCTCCTGCCAACCTAGCAGTTCGAAAGAACGTCAAAGTGCAAGTAGATAAATAGGTACCACTCCAGCGGGAAGGTAAACAGTGTTTCCGTGTGCTGCTCTGGTTTCACCAGAAGTGGCGTAGTCATGCTGGCCACATGACCCAGAAGCTGTATGCCGGCTCCCTCAGCCAATAAAGGAAGATGAGCGCCGCAACCCCAGAGTCATCTGCGACTGGACCTAATGGTCAGGGGTCCCTTTACCTTTACCTTTTATATTGAGCCTTTCATTTTGTTCTCCAATTTCTGTTTAATATGAACATAAGAGTAAAGTATTCCATTGAGGGCAGGCAAAAAGCTATGGGAAGGAAGTTAGTATGGTCTAAACTAGTATCTCAGAGAATAAAAAGGGAGAATCAGGTTTGTCTAATAAAGATCTTATTGTTCACCTGTTAACGGCTCGTAACTTTTTTTTGCCAGATGCTGGAGAACTCTTAATACAGACCTTTATGAAGAATGGTAGTAGAGATATGGGACATAATTCTTATGGATAAGCCAGCAGCACCTCAAAGAGAACACTGTACTTTGGGGGGAGGGACACCACAACGTTCTGTATGACAGGGTTTAATTTACTTGAATATGTGCAATCTATTGAACATGGCTTCCATACTTCAGGTTCTCACATGACACTCTGGAACAATACATTTGTTTGATTTATTCTCACTGGACGGCATCACTTTATGCCTTGATTCTAATGTACTATTCTTTAACGCTGTCTCTATACTTTGGGGTGGGGGGTGTGAGTTGGTAATAATGTTATTGTTGTTTCCTTTGTCAATAAAATATGGTAAAAAGGAGGGGGGGAGGTCATGCTCAGATTTCAGTGTGCCTAGGAGAAATGGACTAGCATTTTTTCCTGCAAAACTGGCTGAATGTTCAAAGCAGGTGGTAGAGGATGCTATATATATATATATATATATATATATATATATATATATATATATATATACATACACAACTGAGGATGAGCATAAACTTTAAACATGTTAACTGTTGTATGAATACATAGCTATAATCTCCGACCCTAAGACGATGCACAGTGTATTTATGAGACTGAAACTGCTTACAGTTCAATTCAGCCACCTCTGAGTAGACAATATCTTCAAGGAGATGAGAACACAAAAATTGTAAAAAGCCAAGCTCTCAGCTTTCAGCTAATAGGAAGCTTACCAGTGTGGTGCTGGCATACTTCAAATGAAGCTTACCAAGACAGCAGGCACTTTCCAAGAGCCAATAAGGACCTAGGCAAATCATTTTCATGCTTATTCTTCCAGACTCCTCCCAGTATGAACAGCAAAATGGTCTCCATGGTTTGGAAACAGAAGTACCTGACAGATTTTTAATTATTTCTCTCTCCTTAAGATCTTGAAAACTTTGAAACCAAAGCAAGAAGCACTGTATCAGTCAGAGAAGGACAAGGAGTCGTTCTGCTCTGTGGACCCCCACCACACTATGGAGGTAGTATACAACATTCTTATTGCTTCCCTCCCCCCCCCCCAGTAATTGTATACTGTAATTTGATGAATGTGCAACACATTATGGGGGCATGATTTATCCTCATGCAGATTCAGTATGCATAGGGTTTATGATCAGAACTAGAGAACCTGCCCATTACCATGCTGCAGAATATAAGGCTTCAGTAGTACAGTTCTGAAAGTTGAAATATACATATAGCTTGTAGGCTTTGCAGATACAGATACAGATACAGATACAGACAATTATAAAGTATTTCTGTTGTTCCAGCAGTTCAAGACATAACACAGACTCTGGCTCACTTCTCAAGACTGACCTTGACAGACAGCACAAATCCCCGGATTGATAAACTGACGCGCCTTAATCACTTCTATAGTCATCACAGGACTGTTGCAACTGGCTTTGCTGACCATCCACCTGTTGGCTTATCTCAACCTTAGAGTAATTTGTGCTCATGAAGGAAATTAACCCCTTCCTCTACATCTAGTTCCTCCAACAACAGCTACCCCCTCACTATTTTTTTCTAACCTACAAAGCCCAACTGTTGTAATGGGGTGTGGCTCCAGCCCCTTGATCATTTTGCTTGTCCTTTTCTTCAGAGCAGGGGGTGGGGTAAGGGAGAAAGTGACTTACCCCAAATACCCTCTTATCACTTTTTAATCCCCCACCAGCCATTTTGGAGCATTCAATGGGTTTTAATGTGTCAGTTTAAATTGACAGAATGCAGAGGTCTCCATAGATTGTATCAATCAATCAATCAAACCTTTATTGCATTAGCATACAGCCATAGCAGGATAAGACAAAAAATGCTAGAGACAAGCAACCAAACAGAATTCAAAGCGATAATACTGGCGTGATGTCATTTAAAATTACCCTAAGACAATAATGTAAAAATTTAGTTGCCAACGCCAGGAGTCTAAAATGGAGATGTATAAAAGCATATATTGGCCCAAAATAGGCTCGGCACATTAGGTTAAAAGGTTATAAAAGAATTAAAACAGGTCCAGGTCTAGAACACACTACCCAGTCAGCGTAGCCCTGAGTTTCAAAGCCTGCACTATAAAGATTGCCACCCCCCATGAAATTTGGGGATTTGCGTCCACAAGAAGCGATTTCAAACAGTCTTCCTTAGATGTGATGGTGGACGGGATCAAGAGGAGGAGCTTAGTTCTTATTATCTCATATATAGGGCAGTAGAAAAAGAAATGTATGAAGTCCTCTACTTCATTCATTGTGCATGGGCATAGGCGCTGATTAATAGGGGTCTAAGAGTAAATCCCCTGCAAGAAGGCCGTGGGTATAGAATGGAAACGGGCCATGGTAAACGCTCTTCTCAAATTGGGCTCTGTCAGGTCTATCAAGTAGTTGACAAGTGATCTTACCACTTTCACTTTAGGGAGCCACGTGGAGAGGCGAGCTGTGGTAGACTGTGCCCGGTCCATGGCCTCGTCTCTTGTAAGAATCCAGGCCCGGATTTTATGTTGGTCCCAAGATGACAGCGTGTCAAGATCTGGGAGGGAGTAGTAGTACTCCCTCCATAGATTGTAATAGGCAGATTTAAAATTGCTGCAGACTCCCAAACAGGAGGAATGGGTAGAAGAACTGGCCAGAGTTGATGTGCATGCAGAACTGAGGCTGTTATAAGAGAACAAACGAGGCATTCATTGTGAGTCTTTTTCTAGGAAAATAACACTGCCTTTCCTCATCTTGTTTCTGTTCCCAGACATAATGCCTCTTTGAGGACGCCAGCTTCCTGTGCTAGCCCCATCCCTACTCTAACACACCTTTTCAATATTTCACATACTCCATTTCCCTCCCTAGATTTTATTAACTTCCTAACTACCTTATAGGGGGAGGGATACTTTCAGAAGGGAAGCATCTTTGATAGATCCCAAGTGACATGCTGTTTCTAATTATAGTCACATAATATTATAGGAAGTCAGCATAAAGTTCCAGAGAAACCACTAGTGTTTACAGACTCATTATCATACTACGCTGATGTTGCAACTGGAACATAAATAATGTTTGTAAAATGGCATTGATGATGGCAAGGAGCTGGAATGGGGAAAGAGTCGACGTTTTGAAATGAATCAGTTGGCAGAGAGTTTCGCTCGGCTCATGAATTATACATTTAATTAAGGGATGCTAAACTGCTAGATTTCAAAACTTCCGATTTACTATGTTTTATTAAAAATACAATTTCCATGCCGCTCCTGCCACTGCCGGAGCCCGATAGAAAGAGCTCGGCAGTCAGCTGTCAAACTGCAGACAGCAGGAAGGAACAATTGCGACAGAAGGTGAACAGAAGCCACTGGACAGAAGAGCAGTGAGTCAGACAGATCAGAGCTGCTGGGGGATCAGAAAGGAGGTGAGCTACCAGCGCCCACTAGGAAGCAGCTACTGGGGAAAGAGGAAAAGGAAAAGTTAGCATATGAATTGTCAGTCCTCAAAGCACAGCAGTGCAAAAGAAATAAAAAAGTGTAACTCCCAAAGCGGGAAGTATTTGAAGTGCAGAGGGTGTCTGTGAATGTCTACCATCACCTGTGTGGTTGTGCAGACTCTGAATGCCTATGATAGCCTTTTTTAAAAGTACTGTATAAACCCACTTAAAATGCCCATGCAGACTGTCGTCTATCAGGTCAAAGTTTTAAAAACCAATCCATAGCTCATTGGATGGAACTGGAGAAGATGGGGTTAATTTAGGCAGGGAGCCCTCTTTGGTTTTGGACTCTGAAGGACACTTTCCCCCCACTAGTCTGGTCAAGTGTTTTCATAACTTAATGGGGGAACGACCTGTGGTTGGCACAATGACAGCGAGAACCCTTCACGCGGAACATAATACTTGGGATTTGTTTTGCTTTTTTGAGTGTTAAGTATGTTCACTGTTTTCCGAGTCCGCACAAGTGCAATGGCTTTTATCGGCTAATTGAGGCAGCATACTGAGCCTAAACCATCCACTTTTGTTTGCCTTTGTTTTCACTTGCAAATTGGCATTGCTATTTGCATATGATGATCTAAGGCAACTGTGCTGTACAGACAAAGGTCTATCAAAAGTGGGCCCCTTTCTAAATGGACTGTGTTGGGCCTGAATTTAAGTACTGCTATCCCTATACTTCCTGTCCCACACATATGAGCCAAGCTAGGGAGTGAAAAAGTTTGCCTCCTCCAGACACACCCTTTAGTCTTGAGTTGCTTAGATGAAGTCCTTCCAAAGGAAGTAGTGAAAGAAAGGGAAGGGTGAGTTTTGCCAGACTTTATAAAGTCATTCCAAAGAAAGCAGTGTGAAGACAAGAAGACTTAGAATTGGAAAACAATGTTTGGAGCTTTCTCAAGGGTAATGTAATCCACCCACTTGCTGTATTTGTCTTCCTTAGAACTAATTCAAAATCAGTTGTTACATATAATTATCAGTTGTACTTGCAGATGTACGTGTGTCCAAGGACTGACAGTATTATATTAACCCGTTGAGGATACAGTTCCTCCTATCTGATAAAAATGTGTTCCATTGCATTGTACCCAGCAACTTAGAAGGAGAAAGGGAAGCTATTAAAGTAGCCCAACACATAGGCTCCTTGCCTCTACACTGCTATCCACATTATCCCCAGGGCTGCTTCTCTCGAACCTGCTATACTTGATGACAACTCATTCTAGTGTGTGACTCATTTCCATTAAAAACTGTTCCATTAGAGATGAAAATGGGTGATTTGTGGTGGCTCAAATCATTACTGATTTTGCATTCAACAGGTGTAGAATATGTATCTGTCAACTGGTGGTCTTCCTGCCACCTAGATGCCTGGCTGGATTTTAAAATGTTCTGCTATCCATGATTTGCTGTTGACTGTTGACATCACTGCATCTATATGTTTCCCTAACCCTAAGGCACTCTCATTGCAAATGGCAAATGGCAAAGAGAGTGGTGTTATTTCAGCATTTTATTTTTATTTAAAGAGTGGGGAGAAAACCACTTGAACAGGAAGAGGACAATGAATGAATCAGGATGAATGAAACACTACTTGAAGATTTACCGTTAGAGCCTTGCTTTTCTATGTTAGTTAACTTTCTCAAAAACTGAAATCACAGTTTGCCTCCAATAGTGCTATCTCTCAGAGTTTTGCTAGGAAAATATGTGTAATAAGTGTTTGATGTTTTCCAGATTTATCCTATGCTTGGATTTTCAATGATAATCCCTTATATGTTCAGGAGGACAGTCGTCGATTTGTATCTCAAGAGACAGGAAATCTATACATCGCCAAAGTGGAACCTTCTGATGTGGGCAACTACACATGTGTTGTAACCAACACAGAAGCCAAACAAAGTGTGCAGGGCCCACCCACACCCCTTGTACTCCGTAGTGATGGTAAGGCTTGTTTTGCGTACAATCTCAATTAAACCACCTTAAAAATGCAGCCTGTCGACTTGTTAAAGTCTACAGAGGACTCTCTCTTGGTGATCCCGCACAGTCTGCAGTTGAGGGGTCCAAAAGAGCGCTTTCTCCGTGGTAGAAAAGCAGGTTTAGAATGGCCTCCTTTCATGAGTGAATCATGACTGTATATTATTTTCATTCAGAAGCCAGGTTTAGATGCACTTATTTGCTTCTCCCACCTGCGTAAATTGTGATTGTTATTAATGTTATGGTGCTTGCTTGCTTGCTTGCTTGCTTGCTTATTTATTTATTATTTATTATTTATTATTTATTATTTTGTTAACTGTGATTTTAATGTTACCCTTTGCCACACTGGAACTCTTGAATGAAGAGTGAACTATAAATACTTGCATATGATATCACCTTGATATTTTTGAAGGGCAATAGATTATCGCAACATTTGTGTTACCCATTTACATTAATCAAAGAGCTCCTTTTGAGTCTATACTTTGAGTCTGCCCACCATTGCTAAAATGAAATAATTGAGCAACTAAGCAAAGGACGATAGAGTGGCTTAAATACATTGCAAAAGTTTTTTTTCAAATGCCATTGATTTTTTTAAAAATGAATTTTATTTTGGTGACATGCTAGGAATCCTTTGTTAGAGATTGCTAGTCCCTGGGATTTCTGGGAAGAGCAAATGACTGTTAGGCCAGTCAGTTTGTAAGGAAGATATGTCAGCAGTAAACCAAGCACATTGCAGGGGAAAGAGGCATGGTAAAATAAATCCTAATCCACATGCTAACGTTATTATTCCAAGAATGCTCAGGTTCAGATGTGACAGGCTTTCATTGTTTAGAGCTACAAAGCAGAACACTAGATTTAATCCAGTTTAGTCACTGAAGTGAAAGGCACTCCTTTTTTTAAAAAGCTTTTAATTGTTTGCAGTTGAAAATACGTAGCAGAGAAATCTTTTGGTGAAGTGTTTTTGAAATGGGTTGGCTCCTTCAAGCCATGGCCCCTCTTAAGTGTAGCCAAAAGGGCTCTCATAAAATAGCAACAACTATTGCAAGGCGTTATGTTCCATACTGTAAAGCTGTGGGACATTTTCAGCCCAAGGGCACATTCTCCTGTGGGGACCTTGCAGGGACCACATGTCAACAGTGGGAAGGACGATTGGCATAACTGGGAAAAGCAATGTACAGTATGTGACTTTGTACAACTGGCTACATTTCAGGAAGACAAAAATCATTTCTGTTCCTGTAGCGGGGGCATATTTGGCCCCTCGCCTTTTCCTCAAAGATGACTCAGGAGGATTGAAACCCAAAGGTGGAGGAGAGAGCCATTTGAGGCAGAGTGTGCAAGATCTCACACAATTTTGGGAAAGATATCATGCAAAATCTTGACAATCTCGCCCAAAATCAGTGCCGATGGTGGTGCCACTTCTACACCAGCAGGGGACGTGGCAGGGCATGCAATGGTGGCAGAACAGGTGGTGGCAGCAGGAGCAGGTATGTGGTGTAGGGAGCGGCAAAACTTGTATAGACTACCTGCGTGAGTCAGAACCCTGAAATCAGACAGGAAGTCTACATGTGTAGCATTGGCTCCCTGCTGCAGAACACCAGGCCTACACCTTTGGAGATCTGTCAGGCCCACTGATGTGCTCCCCCTTCAGATATATACCAGATGCTTGAGATGCCAGAGATTTTTCTTACCAGCAGTTTGAGTAATCTCCTCTTTTTTAACCTGCATAAAGTATAAAAAGGTAAAGGGACCCCTGACAGTTGAGTCCAGTCGCGGACGACTCTGGCGTTGCGGTGCTCATCTTGCTTTACTGGCCGAGGAAGCCGATGTTTGTCCGCAGTTTTTCCGGGTCATGTGGCCAGCATGACTAAGCAGCTTCTGGTGAAACCAGAGCAGCGCATAGAAATGCCATTTACCTTCCCGCCAGAGTGGTATCTATTTTCTACTTGCACTTTGACGTGCTTTCGAACTGCTAGGTTGGCAGGAGCTGGGACCAAGAAAAGGGAGCTCACCCCGTTATGGGGATTCGAACCACTGACCTTCTGATCAGCAAGCCCAAGAGGCTCAGTAGTTTAGACCACAGCGCCACCCGCGTCCCTTGCAAGTATAGGTGTTTGTTCAGCACATCTATATTACATGGTTAATGTGGTTGGTGAGTAATAAGTTGTGCAGCCTGGTGGCATACTGTTACATCTATATGAAAAAAATATTTTTAAAGCATTTGAATATGTATTTAAAAAGAGAATAAAGCATAAAAAATACTTTAAATTCAGTGGAAATGGGATCTATTCAGCTAGTTTTGTTGAAGAAAAGCTAAAAATGATATGCGGTGGAAGGTGTGAACAAAAAATGTGTTTTGCAATTCCATCTAATGAGGGATTTGCCCAGTTTCTCAGATGGAAACCCATTTCTCACGAGGGTTGGAGTGTGCAAGACATCCGACTTTAGGGCTGCATTTTTACAGAAATCAAGCCATCTTAGGAATTTGAAAAAGAATGTAACGTGCTGCATGACAACTGCCGAATGCTAGCTTCTTTTTCACAATATGGTTCAGGAGGTCAAGAGGAAGTCACTTGTATGATTTGATTTGTAGACTTCATATTAAGCACTTGCATGGTGATGAAGTTTTCCACAGTAGCCTGCTCTTGTTCTCACTGGAAGACATTTACTAGCTTCCATAAGAAGAAGTAAGGCCACAATTTTTAATGTCACACTGATAATCTGTTGTAGTAAGACAGGTCTGAGGCACAACTGGAGCACTCCCTGTTTTGATGTTCAACAGGTGTGATGGGGGAGTACGAACCAAAGATTGAAGTGCGTTTTCCAGAAACAACACTGGCAGCAAAAGGCTCATCCGTTAAACTGGAATGCTTTGCCCTTGGAAAGTAAGGTTCTTCATTTTTTTTTCTAAAATAAAAATAAAAAATCGCAATGCTTGTTTGCTGTAATAAAATAAGGACATTTCTCAAATAGTCTACCAAATGGGTATTGATTTGGATTTGAGTGATATCCCATGGTCATAGAAAGGTTTTTTAAATTACCTTACCTAGAAATCCTGCAGGTCTGCCTTATAGAGGACAAATATACCATCTCACCAGAGCAGGAGGCTGCCCAAACACCCCTCCTGCTGTATCCCTGCTGTTAGGCTGTGGGGAATGGGTGAATTTTCCACCAAGTCATTGGTTTTTCATTTCAACTTTTAATAGGTTGTTAGCAGTTTCCTGATAACCAAGCTCCTCCAGCTAAGCATTCATTCTCACAAAACTATAATATATCTTTCTGAAAGAATGCTGATTTTTAAGAATGTGTGTGTGTGTGTGTGTGTGTGTGTACACATTTTACCAATGGTATTAAATCCTTCAGTCTGAGAAACTTATGCAAACTACTGCAAATGCTTCTGCTGTCCCAGTTTATGTTCCATTTAGGCAAAACTGGTGGCTTTTAAACTTCAGAGTACACCTATGCTTCAACATATAAGGCTTAATTTCTGATAATTTGATCCAAATAACTACAATATGGACACTAGTTCTTCAGATCAAGGTAACTAAGCATGCATTTCATGTCCCCCCTTAAACAGGGATATCTTAGAATCAGAGAATTGTGGAGTTGGAAGGGACCCAAGGATCATCTAGTCCAACCCCCTGCAATGCAGGAAACCCGGCTAAAGCACCCATGAAAAAACATCCAAGGAATGAGAGTCCAGAACTTCCCAAGGGAAACCGCTCCATCTTGAATTACAGTTTTGGAGTGAAAGTCAATGCCATTAAGATCACGGTCAGCTCTGTCATGAGACAAGAGGAGACAATTGCCTCAGGCAGTGGGTGAGGGGATGACAAATTTCCACTCCTTCTCTTCATCCTTGCCATGGCTCCTACATCTAATTTCCCTCACCTTCCCAGCGCTTTACTTGTTAACTGATATGCAGCAGACGTGGCTGTGCCTTGACTTTACCTCTTTTCCTCTTCCTCACTCTGAGGAACAACTCAGAGTTCTGGACGCTTGTGCATTTCCAAGTGGAAAGTACAATGATGTGTGTTGTCTCTCCATCACCTGCAAATATACACTTACCAAACAAGCTGGGAAAGAGCTGTTAGCGTTGCGTGGCGATACCCGCCCCCTCCCACAGATGGAATAAATAAAGACACCGGACACCAGAATTTAGGTTGATGGGCGAAAAATGGCCACAACTTTATTGATTACAGGTAAGAGCGGTATTGGCCTTAGGCATTGGCCCTAACAGACTATCCAGTCTAACCGGGGAGGGTTAAGCACCAACAGGGGGAACCCCCGAGATGCACATCCCTAGGCGCTCCCCAAGGGGTTACCGCTCAGGAGCGCGCTTTAGGCCCTACCCTCCATAGGTTTCAGACGAGGCGACGCCCCCCGGAGTCCTTTAACGATCTACCCTCCAAGCATTGGGGGAGGTGATGGCGATCCTCCCCCCCCCGACCTCATTTGCATAACAATACTCCGGCCAATGCCTAACCGCCAAAACCAAGGAGTTGTGACGTTTTGCTACGAGGTAGGCGAAAAAACCAAGTGGCTTCAAAATTCAGCCAATTAGCCAAATGGAAAAACTCCTACCAGGCCCCTTGCGGCGACCAGCCGAAGCCCATAGCAAAGTCCGAATGCACACCTAAAGGGTGGGAGGGTGGGAAACCGCGGCTGCTGCAGAGGAGGAAAAGGGGCGAGCCTGGGCTGCCCTGACCTTAAGTGCCCTCAGGTAGCCCTGCCCCCAGCGCCAGCCCATTGGCTGGCGCTGCCGGATATGAATATTAATGAGGATCCCTGAGTCCTGCAGGGCTGGCGCCAGCCCCGCGAGAATGTGGATGGGAGCGTGAGCCCGCAACTCCCCCCTCCTTAGTTCGGGAGTGGCTTTATCCAAGCGCTAAGAAAGCTCCTGAGTGCCATTCTGAATTGTGCTGAATAGTCTGTCCACCTCTTGTCATGATGGATGGGTATATTATTACCATTGGGTTTTCTAAGCAGAGAAATTGTTGGCCTACACAACAGGCAGAAAGTGTGGTCCATCATTGCAGTACAGGGAGGAGTGCCCGACCCAACCATCATGGTTGCCTGGTGCAAGGGAACTTTGGCAGACATGTCCCTAGGCATAGGTAGCATTGTTGGCCGCAAAGGGTTGGCAGTGTGTGGTTAATGCTGTTACTTGTAGCATCCTCAGCTCCTTGAAAAAGAGGAGCAGAGGACTGTGAGGAGGAGGGATCATACAGCGACTTCTCTCAGGCCAGGAACCATCGATGGGTACCCAACAAGGATGATGAGACCCATCCTTGTCATCACCTTTAACAGCAGTGAAGAGGCCTTATTTATTTTACAAATGTGCTGTATTAATAAAGTTGTAGCCGTATTCACCCATATATTGTCTCACATCTTCATTTGGGTTTAGGGGAAATGTGCCCATCTCTTATTCATTTTTAAAATAAGAAATAATTAGGGCAACCATAAAATCAATTTGCTTTGTTTTTTTAAACATCATTGCAAATGTAGTGTCAGCTCTTCAAGTTGACCCACATTAAAGAAGAGCTTAAACTGGGGTGAGGAAACAAATTAAATTGCACATCTTTAAGATGTGAAATGCTTGAAAAATAAATAAGGAAGCATTTTCTCACCAGCTAGCTTGCTTCTTTCCAATCCTCTTGGCAAAACACCACATCTGAAATGTCAGGTTCCTGTTCTGATTCCTAGATATATTTAGGTTTACTGTGACTTCTCTAGAGTATTATGACTAAATATTTTGGTCTGATTTAAAAAAACAAAAACTCCACAATGAGCATTTTCTAGAGAGTAAATTTTCCTCATAAAAGTTTCTTCATAAGTATTAGATGGAATATTTGGAAAGAGAGTCCAGCAGATAAATGCTATTTCAGCCTTGCCTTCTACTTATTCCTTGTTATGAGGGAAAACACAAATTGTGTGCATTATCTCTTAGTGGAATTAGTTTCAAAAGCTGAAGGTCAAAGGATTAATTTAGCTTTTGCTGTCTTTTATATTATTTGACAGCAGAAGACACAATTATAGTGAAATACCTGACAGAACAAAGACCAATTAGGGAGCCGGGGGGGGGGGCGGGAGAGACTTACCCAAATTACAACCACAGCAGAGTTTAGGTTTTTAAAAAGAAAGCAACAATTTGTCATAATAGACCACAGAAATCACAGCTGGAGCTGAATTTGCCAAGAAAATAATGTAGCAACAGAGAATAAACTTGAAATTAACCCAATCCTAGGGTTTTGGTTCAGTCGAAAAAAGAAAAAAGGGACAGAACAATCCTTTGGAGGTTGGGTGGAGAGTCCAGGCTGGGTAAAATGTCCTAAGTCCTGCTGGACACATTGGCCAGGGTGGGAGGTCAGTGACAGCTCCCCCCCCCTTTTCTTTTACTTGGTTATTGTAGTAATTGGTAACTGTAGAGTTAAATATTGTATCCAGTTATTATGGGTTGGAGCGAAGACCCTGCCTTCTAGCTTGTTGTGGTTACTTTCATTTTCCTGTGTTGTTGTGTGTTGGCCTTGCTTCTTCTGCATGCGGCCCTCCTAACTGTGTCCTAGCATAGGAGCACAGTTGCCAGGCAGGAGTATGCAGTGTGAGGAAGTCCCTTAAGTACCCTTATTCCGTTAGAGCTCTTTGCAAACATGCAATTTTGCTCAGGGCCGAGACCTAAATAATCAAGCAGGAAAACTGGAAGGCAGAACCACTTAATTATTATGCCCTTTTGGAACTTATTTCCCCCACCCCATGTCAGTGTTTGGTGCCAAAAGCCACCGGCACAGCTTTTCTCATCTCTGCTTTGTCTCATTTGTTTAACCAGGCATGGTCGTAATTATCTGAGCTGCAAATTTAATTTTATTGTGAAGTATCCTGAGAGGAGTGACATGAATGATGCAGCACAGATACTGTATGATTGACCGAGGGTTATTCTGCATGCGCCTTCATTTGAAGGGAGAGACAAGGTTTGCTTATTGGCTATTCCTGCGTTGTTCCAGTCAAACTGAAATTGATGCCCAGTGTGACTAGACTTGTCACTTCGAAGAAAATATTTTTCTTCTTCTCTGTTTTAATTTGGTAACTTATGGATTCCTGGGCCTGCTGCCTGTTCTGTAGGATATAAATAAAATAGTGACTGCAGCCAGTGTTCTTTCAATGCTTTGGAGCGTTCAGGCAGACGAATTATAGATTTATCTTAACTGCCATAGATGCACATTTCTGCACTGTGTCCACTTATTCATGCTGAAGTGTGTGTGGGGGAGGGTGTCTTAATTATTTGTGAAGCATAACACATTTGAGATCTTGTAATTCCTTTTACACAAAGCTATGTTTGCATCAGTGGCTATCATGCCAAAAAACACCCCTTTATCTGCATCTTTAAAGTGAGGAAACATGGCCTCATTAATACTATTATTAGCATAATGCAAACATCAGTACCACAGTGACATCTGCAATTATATCCAACTTGCAACCAAACCACAGATTACACTAATGCAAATGCAAAAACCAGGTCAGACTGAGGACAGAGGGCGTCATGTGCTGTGTTGTCACAGGGAATAATAAAAAAGTACAGTACACTAATGAAGCAAGTTATGGTAGTACAACTGCGCCACTACAAAGGAGTTGCAAAATGCCCCGAATTATTCAAAAATTACCATAGAGAAAGTATGCTATCTCCAGGAAAGTAGTGAAACATGATTCTACCCATATTGACAGTTTACGGACTGGACATGGCAGGACAATATTACAATTATTTTTTTAAAAGTCTTAAGCTAGTGCTTTAAGGCAAGAAGTAGGAAATAAAGATCTACAGCTGTGCCACTCTTGCAGCTTGGTGTGGTTGGGAAAGATTTGACCAAACTGTTTAAGTGATAAAGTGGAATGTTTCGGTGGGTAAAATGGCTGCCAAAATTGAGAACAAGTTTTCGAGAGGTGTTTTGAATTCTTTCTGGAGCAGGAGTATGCCATTTACCATTTTAAGATTTTAGAAGTACTTGCACCAGGACTTTTGGTTATGCAATAGAATTTCCCTTCCCACTTCTCATGTGCGTCCCCTCCCTCCCAATCCCTCTCCAAATATACTACATAGGGTTCAGGGAACCCCCCCTAATGTGCTTGGTGAATGCCATTATTTTCGTAGTTGCCGAACAAGACTTCACCAGCATTGGGTACATTGCAATAACAATTTAGTGTCTGAAAGTTGACAGCTTGTGGGAAATTCAAGTTGAAGCTGGCCTAAATCAAAGTAGTCAAGCTTCTGGCAAGAATTCCAGTTCTGAATGTCTTCAGGGTTTGTTCTTCAAAATGGGAATTGAAATTTTGCTTTGGAATTTCTCATAAAAGAAATGGACTGGCATAATTGAAAAATCCTGTAAAGTTTGAATATTGCAAATATTAACTTCATGTCAAAAGGCATCCCATAAGTAT